CCATACTAAATGAGTTTATAAATTCTCTCTTGCAATATTTTACACTCGTCATTCTTTTTTCATTTATTTAATGTTTCACGCAATGGGAAAATATAAAATGGTCGAATCTTCTCCTACAGGTAGTGATACAATATCTTGTACGGTACAAACTAAATTTATACTTTTATATTATGGTGTATTGGATTCATGGATTGGTTTAAAAGGATTTGTGGATTGTTTTTTGGATTCAAGTGAAATCTAAACATTAGACCAATATGTAAATTTAAAAAATTGTAGGTACTAACCAAACTTCTTCTTGAAAATATAATTGTTCAATGATTTTACACTAAAATTAAATTTGGGGTATCAAATTATAAAATATACATTATAGTGACTAATTTGTAATTTGTTAGACTTTCGAGTATCAGAATGTAAAATATAAATTATAGTGACTAATTTGTAATTAGTTAAACAACAGTAACCATACTTCTTCTTTATATGTATTAATAATAATTAATTAATTAATATTTCTAACACAAACTACAACATTTTATTGGTCTTTTTGTGCATACCTAGTATTGCTTCGGTTCAGTCATATCAACCAAATGATTCATACTTGCGAGGAAATCTCATGACACTACAGAGTATGATTCATCCCAGTGTTCACCATGCTTGGAAGAGACACTGAAATGGGGTCGAGATGGGCATTGCAATGCAAGAGTTGATTACAACCAACATAGATGGATTGTACAATTTGTCTTGCATACTAGATAGTGCAAAAAGGATTATATGCGATGGATGTAATTATTTATTGGATATCTTTGCTATTAACCCGAGACTACTTTGGCCTCCAATATCTTAAACTAGAATCTGTATTGGATATCTTCAGAAAACTCGTACAAGTCGATATGTTTACAATAAAGCATGACAGGGTGATCTAGTTTGACAGACTGCCTATTTATCTTGACGATCATGTTATACTGAATAATGTAGCTGTAAATTTTTATTAATAAAGGTCCAACAGATTTTGATAAAAAAAGAAAAACATGACAAGATAAAATTATCACAAGAAGGGCCTATATAGTCCCATATTGTATCGTATTATGGACAAAACGGGTAACGAGCTTAATGCATAACATGATAAACACGTTAGGTCAAAGTTGACATCCAAATTCAATTGGAACTTTAAATATATATTTTCATCTAATTTTCTTCTTTCTTCTCATTTTCAATGAAGCCTACATCTAATGGTGTTCTCTCTGTTGCATAATCTCGATAATTGTTGGAAATGATTACTTTTTGGCCCAGCTGGGCCAAAGAAAAGAATAGAAGAAGCATTTGACTCCTTTCATGCATGTTCCACTTGGCTCGGGGGATATAGCTCAGTTGGTAAGCGGTAATACATCTAAGAAATTATTCCACCGAACGTATTCTCCCCTGGAGCCGGGAATAGCGACATGGACTAAATGCCCTGTCCAAGCCAAGGAACTTACTCCGAATAATCCTGACAAATGATGATGGCTCGAATCCGTAGTCAATCCTATTTCCGATAGGAGCAGTTGACAATTGAATCCAACTTTTCCCATTCTTTTCGTATCGGTAATAGTGTGAAAAGAAAGGGCGCTTCTGGTTCTGTCGGTGCTTGAAACAATTTTGTCTTCTCCATATTACTGTATCTCTAGAGTCAATAATTTTCTATGAGGAACTACTGAACTCAATCACTTGTTGCCGTTACTCTTCAGTTTTCTGTTGAGGTCTATCCTGTAGAGGTACTCAAGTAATTCTGGTTAAGCTTTGTCTAAATCTAAAGTAAACATGTCTCTAAAAAAAATCTAAAGTAAACATGTGTCCCATACAATTGTCTTTTCCCTAGTTCTTTTAGGACTCGTTTACTTGTTGGATTTAAAAATAAGGGTTTTGAGTTTTAAAAATCTTTGGATTTCTGATGGATTTGTCTAACATTTTTGACTTTCATTATCAAATCTCAAATAATATGTGGGATTTACAAGTCCATAGAGTCCACAAATTTTCTAAGAAAAGGGTCCAAATTCATAGACCACACGAATTTTTTGAATCTCATCAAACAATAAATTTGTGTCAAATCCATGATGATTGGAATTTGGATGCCAAATCAATCACCCAAATCCCACAAGCAAATTACCCCTTAGAGATTTCTATCATTGTCCAAAATTTTAAATTTTAGTAGGTAGCCAATGCTTAAAGTATTTAACCACTAGACGGTGTTACGATCTCAAAACTTTTAGAGTGGTTCATTTTGTAATTACAGGTTAGATTAAGTTTGAAAGAAAATTTAAAAGCAAAAAATGGTGGTTGTTAAACATCATAATCGTTGAATTAGTGTTGAGTTTGTTTTTTTTTTTTTTTTTTGGTTGAATATAGAAAAGAAACTTCACACACATGCATGGTCTCCTCTTTAATACGTACGAGTGGAGAACAACTGTGGAATTGTGAACTGAATTCCAACAAGTGTTGCCAACTTTTTTTCTCCTTAAAAAGGGTAGTAGATTAGAAAAAAATTAATCCAAGGTAAAACGAAAGAAATAAAAATGGGGATGATGATTTTTTTTATTTTGTCTATCTCTCAAATCTCACTTTAAACCATGTAATTTTCAAATTCAAGAGATCTATGTATTTGAACTATTAGATTTATGGACCAGGGACAGATCTAAGGGTATTTAGAAGTGTCTCGAGATATCTTTAAATTTTGGAAAGAAATTAATGAACAATCAATAATAGGTTGAGTATGGAAAAAATAGTGATAGTCTATGACTCTATGTGATTCAAATATATTACACTGCAATTATTAGTGTATATGCTTCCAATAGATTATAATTTATTTATTGATGAACATAAATATAATTATAAAAAGCTACTCCTTATTCAAAAATTTTCAAAACCTAAATATAATTATAAAGCCAATCCGACTACAGGTTACCCCTTATCCCTACCATAGTCGTTTTGTTAAAGTTATCCCCACCACTGTCTAACACACGAAACCAACATATTGGACATTCTTCTTGAAGAGTTTGGTCACCTTTTTTGACATTTTTCTTTTTTCCGAAACTTGGTGAATTATTATTATTATTATTATGATAAGGATGATGAGTTATTTTGTGGATTAAAATGAATTGATGAATTAACTCAGTTTATGTTGGATACAAATGTGAATCTATCATGTTCCATGAGTCTATTTGCTTCTCAAAGTTATATTAATTTTACCGGTTTCAATTGCAAGCATTGATATAGCCTTTTAGCTTTGGATTACATAAAGAACTAGTTTCGAAATCGAATAGTACGTGAATGATTATCTAATATGATATGTTGAACACTGTAAATAATGAGTATGTTTGATCCCAAATGATAAATGATCATTTGGGTACAAGGAGTTTGAGGCGTTAGACATGACCTCAATGGAGCAAGCACCCACCTCATAAAAGAGCGTGAGAAGAGAATATGTTAGAGAGAGAAAATAGAGAGAAGTTAATGTAGATAGCTTGCCATTCATAAGACTAACTCCAACCCAAGGATGCAAATTTGGAGAAAGGTATGTTTTCCCACTTTTTCCTCTCCAACCCACATAAAAATTGGCTTGCAAATTTGGAGAAGTGGGCTTGGGAGTGGATAGATAGAAGCTGAAATGGAGAAATGCAAGGAGGAGGTGGGGACCATGGGGCAGCCAAAGCCCACATGTAGGGGCACGTGGGCCCTCCACTTTTCCATTCCCTTCTCTATTTTTGTTTTTTGTTTTTACTTTCTTAATTTTTGATTGGTTGGTTATGCATTGGGAAGGCAAATTTAGAAGGTTTAGGGTTGGAGCCAAAAAGTGTTTTTGGGAGGTAAAAATGCAAATTTGAGAGTTTGAGAGGCTAAAAATGCACATTTGGGTTGGAGTTAGTCTTATGTTATGGTCCGTGCACCTCAGACTCTCAGAAGGTGTCTGGTGGTGCAGAGGGTGTCCCCTTTGCCTCTTCCTTGCTGACATCAGGTCTGCCAACTTGTCTCTTTTTCTGATGATGTAAGCCTCTAGAGTTTTGTCCCTAACTATTGGCTTCTTTCGGACTCTTCTTGTGGACCTTCTCTAAGTGTTAGACTTTGACTTCATATCCTATCAAAGAATATTTTAATTTTTTTTGAAATCTGGAAACACACCGTAAACTTTTATTATAACTCTACTAGTTGAACATTTTCTTATTTAAAATTTTTATTTTAATATAATTTTTGAAAGGAACAGCCCCTACATAATTTTATCCCCTAAAAATGACTAGTAGTTTGCACTTGGGAATAAATCCAAATTTTTAACCGAACCCGCAAACAACCCTATATTTCATTCATAGGACACAGAAAAGAGGGCGCACTAGTTTGTTATGCACTTGTGGTGTCATGTTCATTACTTTTCAAGAGACAAGAGAACAATTTATCAATTATCATCACCGCCACTAAAGTCAGCTGTCACAAATTTATGGATTTTAAATGCTAAGAACTCCAGTCACATCCCTGAGTTTGGTCCAACTTATTCCAATAGCAATACTTCCACAACCTGGAATTTGTGGATAATAGAAAAGCTGTATCAACCACACCATGCATGGGAACCAATCTCATCTTAGTTCACTGTCGACTGTATCTCAGCTAAGAACCATTGTATCAAAATGAGCAAATTTGTGATGGAAAAGCTAACTCTTTTTTTTTTTTTTGTCAATTAGCGAAATCTTATTCGTCGCACATAAAATTGTAGAAATAAAAGCTTACAAATCACGTCATTTTTAGATTGACACTAGATAACTTGTATTCGAATTTAAGCACAATCACAGCTGACGATATGCTTATCCAGTTCTTCCAGCTCCAGGGGAACAATTTCACATCTGTTGAGATGATTAACAGGTTAATTAATTCAGCATGGGTCTTTATCCAATCATTAGCTTTCAAGCCTGAAATGTAGAAAAAGAAATTTAAACGAATAAAAACGGAAACTTTATAATACAATACAGAAAGAAGAAAAAACCGCCAATATTTTAACCTCACGTCCTTTCTGGCAGAGCAAAGTGGAAGGAACAGCAACAGGATGGTTCTTCTTATAATTATTTTCTTTCCATTTCTTTTTGGGTTTTAAATGTATTTAGATTTTAGAGCTACGGAGAAAACCTCCCTTCGAATCCAAGTATTCTCCCCCAAATGCGTAATCCGCGTGCAGCTTCTATTTTAGCCAAGCAGCGATCTTTAGAGCATCGTCTACTCTTTACTCAATCTTGCCCATTTCTTCTCTAAGCTATACTTTCATGGGTAGTTGCCAAGATCTTGCGGGTTGACACTCTGTAGCTCAAGTGTTTGATAAAATCTCCCAACCAGAAAATATTAACAACAACCCATTCTCAGTACATTGCTTACCGTATCCAAAGACTTGAGCTTTCTGCGTCGCACTCGGTTTCAGGCTTTCAGTTCCTTTTTTGGTTTAAAACCCATCTCCTAAAGCTACTTGATCCCCTTTTTTTCTTTCTTCCTTCTTTTTCTGGTTGGTTCTTTCCTCCTCTTTCCCTCTTGCTTCTTCTGGGTCTTTTTCTTTCTTGGGGTTTCATGAGTTCATCTGCGGCTTCATCTGCTGCTGTGTCCTGCTGAGGCTTAGAGAGTGGGGAAGGGAGGGAGTGGTGGAGATTTCTTGCAGAGGAAATGAGACCATTCATTTCTTTGCAAATTCTTTGTGTCGTTGCCTCTACAGCTCTCTTTGTGGCTTGTCGGTCCTTTCCTCAGGATGAAGGTATGAACTGCTGATTTCAGATCTCGACTCTTCAACTTGGCGTCAAGCTGTTTGCTAGTTGGGAAAGAAAATTACTTTTGTGGGGGCAGAAGAGAAGTCTTCGCTTGGTGTTGTTATGCGTTTGACTGAGTGGAATTTGGTGTCAGTTGGAGGACTAAGTGAGAGTATTGCTAGCCTTCTTGTTCTTTGCTTATCACTAGAGTGAAGAATCTGGATTCCAACTTTTCTCTTGGGTCTAGTAAATTTCCTCTACTTTGGCGATGAAGAATGCGGTAGTAACTGTTTTGGGAAGGTCATTGATCTGGACGCCTGTGTTCAAATCAATTGAATGGCAAACGAACTTTCTGAATTCTTGTGATTGGTGTGCGTTAGGTGAGGTGCTGATAACTTTTGTTTCTTCTTTTACTGAATTCTGCTGCTGACTTTGCACAGTTTCGGCCCTGAATGCATTCAAGGAAGCAATTTATGAAGACCCTCGTCTGATTATGTCCAATTGGAATGCTCTAGATACCACTCCGTGTGAGTGGGCTGGCGTTTATTGCACATCTGCTGGAGACCATGTTTTCAAGATGTAATTCGCGATCCATTGTTCATTCTGTTATGACTGTACTCCCAAATTGGAGGGGCTTGCCTTTTGCATTGGTTCATTCCTAATGCATAATTTTCCCCTCTGTAGAAACATATCGGCAGCATCTCTCCGAGGGTTCATTTCACCGGACTTGAGCAGGATCACAAACTTGCAAGAACTGTAAGTTACCTCTTGCGTACATAATACTGAAAAAGCTATTCTCTTGAGCTCACTACAATTTAAGTTAACAATGATGGTTTGGTTTCTTGGGGTTATGTAGAATCTTACATGGAAACAATCTGATTGGAACTATACCTAAAGAACTGGGCAATCTGAAGCAGCTTAAGAGGTTGGATCTAGGAGCCAATCAATTAATGGGTCCGATTCCTCCAGAGCTGGCAACTATATCTGGCATCATGAAATTGTAATTCTTTGTCTCGTCCTTTCTTGATTGATTGGAAATGCTCAATTCCTGCATACTAACTTGGGGTGACCTTTTGGCCTGCAGAAACCTTCAGTCTAATGGGCTAACCGGGACTCTGGCTACAGGGTTTGGCAATTTAAGATACCTCCAGGAACTCATCCTGGATAGGAACAGACTCCAGGGTACTTTTCCAGCTAGTAATGATTTGCCGTCCAATTTGCATGGAATGTAAGTTCAGTATCCATATGCAAGAATGTCATAGATTGGTCATTTCAACTTTTTCTGGGTTTTACTTTTCTCTAAAGAACTTGATGCATCACCTTAACTCTGTGGGTAGAAGATTGGAACGAGAATGAACAAGCTTTCTAGTCATAACTTCGTGACAGAGGAAACGCCTTTCTTGTCCTCATCTTCCTCTCTTATTGTGATCAGGCTGTCCTATTGACTTCATGGTTCTAATTTCTGTTAACAGGTATTCTTCAGCTGAAAACTCAACTGGTCTATGCCAAGCATCTAATCTCAAAGTAGTTGATTTCTCTTACAACTTCTTCACTGGAACAGTACCTAAATGCTTGAGATATCTTCCAAGGTAGTTTTCTTGCGACTTTATGATTGATTAAAATTTGCTAGTTTGCTTCGCAGCTTACATTATCCTAAATTTTGTTGTCTTGCAGCACAAGTTTTCAAGGAAACTGCCTTCAGAACAAAGAGTCACGACAGCGTAGTGCTGCACAATGTAGCTCTTACTGTAAGAATTTTTCTCTGTAGTGTAGAGTTTGGGGTCATAAGTTTGGTTCATGTTTAATATAATGCAATGCAAGTAATTAAGTAGCAACTAGGTGGAAACTCTTATCAATTCATTGCAGTACATAGCTTGGATGGAGAAACTTTTTGTAGCAATGTATGCCAAACTAGGGTCATGAGCTCTTGAGGATGTTAGAGAACTTCTGATCTGAACAGTGGCAAAACTATGTCCGAAGTGTTACTATTTTCCGAGAGTATTAGGCTTTCTTCCAAGCATTGTCCATTGTCCATCTGAAAGTGATAACAAAAATATTTCCTTCTGCAGCTGGTCCTAAACCTGTCAGAAACCATCCACCATTTCACCCTAAGCACCCAGCTGCTGAAGCTGTTTCCTCCAAGGAGCATCAGGGGAAATCAAAGCCAGCATGGTTATTAGTGTTGGAAATAGTGACAGGAACCATGGTGGGCGCTATCTTTGTTGTTTTCCTTGTCACTGCTTTACAGAGATGGAATGCCAGATCCGCTATTATAATGCCCTGGAAGAAATCAAGTAGTCAAAAGGAAAATGTGCCTGTATACATAGGTTTGCTTGCTGCATCAACATCCAACATACATTCAGAAAGTTTGACTGTGCTTCTGCTTAAAGTGACATTTATATATCCATTTTGCAGACTCTGGTATGCTGAAAGATGTAGTGAAGTTCAACAGACAAGAACTTGAAGTAGCCTGTGAAGACTTTAGCAACATCATTGGCTCTTCTCCAGATAGTTTGGTTTACAAGGGGAACATGAAAGGAGGTTCTGAGATTGCTGTCATATCTCTCTGTATCAAAGAGGAAAACTGGTCTGGCTATCTTGAACTCTATTTTCAGAGGGAGGTATGTAAAATCATGTCATGGAACCTCCACAAAATTGACTAGCATTTATAGAGCTCAAAGTAAGAAACTTTGCTGAAGTGCTATTACTTCAGGTTGCAGATTTGGCAAGATTAAATCATGAGAATACCGGAAAGCTGCTGGGTTATTGTAAAGAGAGCACTCCATTTACCAGGATGCTAGTGTTTGAATACGCATCAAACGGAACTTTGAACGAGCACCTTCACTGTAAGTCAGGTTTTCCTGTAGCTTTAAGTTCGGTTGAAAGAATATAGAAAATCTTCCTTCCTAGTCCAAAGCTGAAGTCGCCCATTCTGAACGCTGTGCAGATGGAGAGGAATGCCAATTATCTTGGACACGGCGCATGAGAATTGTGATAGGTATCGCTCGTGGGCTTAAGTACCTTCACACGGAACTTGACCCACCTTTCACAATATCGGAGTTGACTTCTAGTGCTGTTTACCTCACGGATGACTTCTCCCCCAAGGTACTCAACATCTACTTTTGTTGGGAGTGGGAACTTTATGATACTGCAAGCTTTTTGGAGCTCCTAAATTAGCAAAATATACAATATTGGGATCGTAGCAATACTTTTTACTTGACTTTTAATACATAGCACAAATTCCTTGTAATTTTTTTTTTCCCCGAAACAATCCAATTCCTAATAAGATGGTTGCTAACCAGAACTTTTTCATTCATTCTTTGATTCAGCTGGTGGATTTTGAGAGTTGGAAGAGCATTCTTTCCAGATCAGAAAAGAATGCAGGTTCCATTGGTGGCCAAGGTGCTATCTGTGTTCTTCCCAATTCTATGGAGGCACGGCACCTGGACATTCGAGGCAATGTCTATGCTTTTGGGGTGTTACTGCTAGAAATTATCAGTGGCAGGCCTCCATATTGCAAAGATAAAGTATCTCTTGTAGACTGGGTATGTTATATATCAAATTCAAGCATGGCCCTAAAACTTCCTTCAGCACCTAGAAACTGAGAACTGTTCTATATACATGCAGGCTAATGACTTACTCGAAGTCCCGGATGCAATGTCTTATCTTGTGGATCCTGAGGTGAAGAATTTCAGGCAAGAAGAGCTAAAAGCTATATGTGAAGCGGTAAAACTTTGCATCCATCCTGATGCAACGAAGAGGCCTTCAATGCGGGAGTTGTGCACACTGCTGGAAAGCAAAATCGATACATCTGTGTCGTTTGACTTCAAGGCGACTTCCTTGGCGTGGGCTGAGCTTGCATTGTCGTCATGAATAGAGTTAGGGGAGAAGACTTTGATTGAGCTAACACACTGTAAAGCAAATAGAGACATCACTAATACTCTTCCTTTCTTTGGTTTTGGTGTCACCTTGATTCTCTGTCAGGCTTTTTTTCTTCCTTTTTGGTTATTAACTGCCCCTTGTAAATGTCTGCATATAGCTAAAGAGGAACTTGAGAGTGCTTCTTGCATGACACAAAAGAACTCATTTGTATACCATTACCACCCCCCAATTGGTAGTCTGTGATGGATGACTGAAGTTGCTGAATCATAGTAGATGTAGATAGAGTTCACTGAACTCTTGTTGATGATATTTGAATGAGCAAGGGTGTTTTCCCCCCCTTTTTTCTGCCAATTCTTTTTCCCCTCCATCTCTCTGTGATTCTCTTTTGTAGCAGTAGCAGGTCCAATATAGAAACCAGCTCATCCTGATATATGATTAGTCTGGGGAGTAGTGATGCGTGGGGAGTACAGTTTTGCTCCATTATCACATTGCATAAAGAGAAAGCAAGAATCATTCTTATTCCCACTGAAGGGTTGCACCATGATGGCAACTTTCCAGGTTTCCACATTCAAAAGGAATGGTAAATTTTTGACTTTGGAAAGAAGAAACGAACAAAATGATTTCCAGGATGGATGTTGGAGAAATAGAAAGAATCATTAAAGGTGTTTGGTATAATATTGTCTGTTGCTGTTGCATTCAAGCTGCAGAGTGGGACAAATGGGTACGTTAAACTGGTCAATTTCCATGGCAGCCTTTCTCCATCCAAATCCCTTTCTATCTTCATCGCCATGCTGGATGCAGATGGCCATTCAATCATTTTCTTGAACACATTGTCGTCTGCTCCTGTTCTTTTTTTCCTGGAATCTCTGCCGTAGATTTTTCCTTTATAAAAACCGCCACCATCTCTCACTGTCTCACACATATCAATCTTTCCCCAAGGGTGTTCTCATGGCCCTAAACTTGGTCACATGTCTACTCTTCGTCAAAATCTTCATTTATAGCTTCAGGCTTCAGTTGCCGCTTATCAAGAAATTAATCTATTAATATTTTAAATAAGTTAAGACTTAAGAGATGAGTAGCAAATGTCTTTATGAGCAAAAATAACATTCTTATATATAAAGGTGAAGCTTAGTTACTGTTGTCTAAAAAATACCATTTTGATACCTCAAATTTTATTAAATTACAATTTAATCATTATAATGTAAATTTTATATTTTGATCCTCCAAATTTAATTTTAGTGTAAAATTATTGAACAATTATATTTTGGTATCTAAATTTTATGAAACTTTCGTACCTATAGTTTTTTAAATTTACATATTGGTACAATGTTTAGATTTCACTTGAATCCATGAATCCGGATCCACCAATCCTTTTGAACCAATCCATGAATCCAATCCACTAGAACATAAAAGTATAACTTTAGTTTGCACCATACAAGATGTTGTATCACTCAACTGTAGCGAGAAAGTTCAATCATTTTATATTTGCTCATTATGTGAAATATTAAATAAATGATAAAAAAGAGACGACTCTAGAATATTGCAAGAGAAAATTTATAAACTCATTTAGTATATTTACGGGGTACTAAGCAAACTTCTACTAGCTACATGTAACATAATATGCGACATCTACATAAGTAAGTGTCAATAAATTGCTACGGTGAAAAGGGCCGATTGTTGTATTGACGGCCAACTAAAACATTCCATAACCCTAATTAGTATACTATTTTTATGTATTCTAATCACAAATATGAATGGGTCCATACATGACTCTCCAACAATCTAGAGAATTAATAATTGAACCACTAACTTTTTCAGCTCAATGTACTGTCGAGTCCAATTAAAAATAAATATATATGGTTATTACTTATTTGAAAGGTGTCATTTTCCACTATGGAATTTTAAGGAGTGAAATTCAAGTGAGTTCCAGTTTGTATTCCTTTTGCTTATCTCTAGAGTTTTTCTTTGACTAGAATTTTCAACAAATATACATGGAATGTTTAGTTAGGTTTCTACACATATCAAATAAATAGTTTCCTATTTTCTATAAAAAAGTAAATTATTATCATCTTAAATTCATTGCCATAAAAGGAGTTAAGCCTCAACTGTGCAAATTACAGTTTGGTACCTAAACTTGATAAATCTTTAGATTTATAACCTAATTTTTTTTTGCATATAAGTCCTCAAAATATTGATGGAAAATTATATTTTAGTACCTAAAACTTTTGTGTATTATTTTGGTACCTAAACTTTTGAAGTTCTACAAATAGGTCTAATTTTGTGTGTGTAATTAAAATACCCTCGAATAAATGGGTATCCATACCCAACTCATACACATTTAGATTATGAAAGTAAATATTCATACCCTACTCAAACTCATCTGCAAACTTCTAAACACATATATACGTCAGTCATACCCTACCCATAATCAAAGGGTGTACTTGGGTTTAGGTAAATATCATTTATTAAACAATTTTTTTAAATTGGATGTTTACTGTCATATATATCTTCTCAGTCAATATCATATTGTCAAGTCAATATTACTAACAAAACTGCTAACAAAAAATTAATTTAAGGCTAATAATACTAACAAAACACCATAACAGGCCACATAAAACATGCCCATAGGCCATCTCCGCCAGTGACAAGACGCGGAATCACCACCTAGTATATATTCAAAGGGGGAAATAAGAGAAAAAATAATGGTATTAAGTGTTAACATAAATGAGGAATTTTACAATGCTATATAGTGTTGGTGCTATAGGTTTTTGCTTTTATGGTACAACTTAAAATTGTACATTTAACGTTATGGTACAACTTTAGATTATACATATACTGTTTGGACAAATTCTTTTATAGTACAACTTGAACTTGTGCCTTTATGTGATGGTACATCTTTAAGTTGTAAAGTTGTACCATAACATAATGATACAAATTCTTTTATAGTACAATCTAAACTTATAGATTCATGTTATGCTCTGACATAAATATGCAACAATAAATATGTCTGATTGGATATAATATATGATAGCTCAAATAATGAATAGAAAAGTTGACGAGGCAACAAAATTGTTTCTGCCCTTGTTTCTTTTTTTCTGGGGATCTCTGTTAGATTATATATTAGCTTAATGTGGTCAAACCAGTGGAAGCCTGCTTCTTATCCGAAAAAAAGGAATAGGATAAGGTTCTAGTGGATTTTACATTAAATTTTTTGGCAAAAAGACAATATATGTCCTGCCTATGCTGAAGCTCATGAGTTGTTTTCTGCATTACCCTTAATATCCTGCAACTGTGCCTAGTAAGATACGAAATGCAGGCCAAGCAGCCTGTTTTATCACGGCACGAGGGCGGATTCCGTGACCAAGAGTTATTAGTCAAATGACTAAATTCCTTCTAGTTTTTAGATTTGAGCACACTAATCTAACGGTTAAAAAGTAGGAAGAAATTTTTAATTAGTAACAGGGTATTTTGGGTATTATGAAAAATTACGAAGTATACAAACCAAACTTACTAACAATACAAACATTACAAACTATAACGACAAAACATACAAATAAATTTACAAACAATACAAACATACGAACTGTACAAACAATACAAACTAGACTAACAAACAATACAAACCATAAAAAATAAAAATAAAAACAATCGGGTTGACTTTGGAGGCTCCATCCCTATATAGAGGGGCTCTGTCCCAAAGTCAACCCGATTGTTTTTTAGACATACAAACATTACAAACATGGTGGACAAAAATGACAAAATAGACCGACAACGATACAAAATGGAAAACATCAGGGTTAACTTTGGAGGCTCCATCTCTATATGGAGGAGTTTCATGCAAAAGTCAACTAGGTTGTTTTTTAGACATAAAAATCATTACAAACATGGTTGACAAAATAACAAACATGGTGCACAAAAATAAAAAGTTCACAAACATTACAAAAGAAACGAACAAAGATTACAAAAATAACAAAATTTACAAACATTAAAAAATAAACCGACAAACATTACAAAGAATACTAACAGTACAAAATAACACAACTTACAATACAAATCGATAAAATTGTATTGCAAATTAATGAATACAAAGTATACAAATCATAACATAAAGTATACAAACTATAAAAACAAATATTATAAATAAAAATATATACAAATTAGTCATATAAACATTACAAACACAATAGACAAAAATAACAAACTAGAATGATAAATGATAAAAACCAAATAAATATAAACATTACAAACAAGACTTATTAATATTACAAAATAGGTCGATAAACTTTACAAAATTGCAGGCCCGTTGAAAAATTCGCTCCGACGCTGATAAGACTCCTGAAAATCTCTCTCTCTCTGCACGAGGAAGTTGTGGGAAAATATTCCTAGGCCACCTCTATTTTCTAGAGCAGAAGGAAGATGGGAGGTCGGCGGGAGGAATAGGTGACCGACGGAAAGAAACGAAAGGGAGGTATAGGTGTCAATCGGGCGGGTTCGGGTCGGGTTGAATTGGGTTACGGGTTAGTCGGGTTTTGGGGTCATCGGATTACGGGTCAGTTGGGTTCGGGTTGCGGGTTAGTCGGGTTGCAAATTAATTGGGTTGCGGATCGACCGGGTTGCGAGTTAGTCGGGTTACGGGTTGGGTGGGTTGCGGGTTGCTCAAGTTTGTGCATCGTGTTACTTACTTTATACTCGTTACAACTTACACTTTATTTATTGCAGTAATTTCAAACATTTTTTTTTCTTCAAAATTTTAAGACAAATTTTCTCTCCTTGTATATTACTTACAAAAACTAAATAGAATTTTCAAAGTGTTGATTTAGTTTTTTATTCTTTTACATGATTGAGTTATGACAATAATATGACTTACAAACTTGCTATATAATTAATCATAATTGGTAAATTACATTATTTACTTGTTATGGTGAGATTAACATTTTCCATTCAATAGTCATATACAACCACAAATTAAAAGGTGTACATGACACAAATTATTCAAAACTCATATTCAGTTTTAAATGAAAACTTAGAATAACTAACTCCATGAACATTCAAGTGATGAAACGAAGTGGTGTTAGATGACTGTTGAAAACACTGAAAAATAATTATTTTATCTAAGTGGTGTCGGAATTGTTTGGTATTTGATTATAAACAAGTCCACTGTTCTGTGCTTCGGCAACAACTCCTGTATCCATTCCCAGAGTGGGCCAGGATCATGGTAGGAGACGGAAGTGGTGATATTCGTACGATTTCACCACAAGCGGGAGTTGGGAGCAAGAGAGCTATTCGGGGTGTACCTGTTCTTTTGATGGAGCGGTTAGTGGCCAATCTCATGCGGCAATAGGGATTGTAAT